CGATCTCTTGACCTCGTGATCCACCCGCCTCGGCCTCCCAAAGTGCTGGGATTATAGGCGTGAGCCACCGCGCCCGGCTTAAAAATTTTTTTGAGCCAGAGTGTCACTCTGTCACCCAGGCTGGAGTGCAGTGGTGCAATCTCAGCTCACTGCAACCTCTGCCTCCTGGGTTCAAGTGATTCTCCTGCCTCAGCCTCCTGAGTAGCTAGGATTACAGGCACCCGACACCACACCCGGCTAATTTTTTGTATTTTTAGTAGAGATGAGGTTTCACCAATGGCCAGGCTGGTCTAGAACTCCTGACCTCAAGTGATCCACCTGCCTTGGGCTCCCAAAGTGCAGGGATTATAGGCATGAGCCATGGCACCCAGCCAGAGATAGTATTTAAACAGGGTTTTCTTAAAGAGTGAGTAATTTACTTGGTAAATAAGTGGAAGGAGGTTACTACTGGATCATTTTGTAGCATTCCCTTCTTTTCATTTGCTGCTATTGTTTAGAAATTATCTTTGGGAAGGCTTTTCACATATTTTCTCTTTGCTGATGGAGATTCCACCTCCTTCACAAGCTTTTTGCTTTAGGAACAAATGATACAATTTTTTTCTTTTTTCTTTCTCCCTCCCCTCCCCACTCTCTCTCAAATAATTTTCTAAGCACTTTGTAAACAGTAGCATGCTATATTATAACCTGTATACATGTTGACAAATCAGTTATTTACTGACTAGTACCTATCTACTCATCAAAGAAGTATGACAATATCAAAATAAAATGTATGGTCTGTTCCCAGGAAACATTCATGAAAAAATGCAGTTCACATGTAAGTATATAATCTAAATTGTGAGATCAGATTACAAAGAATCCAAAGAGTTTGCATCAAGAGGAGGGGCACAATAAATGAGAGGCTGGACACAGTGGCTCACACCTGTAATCCCAGCACTTTGGGAGGCCAAGGTGGGCAGATCACTTGAAGTCAAGAGTTCAAGACCAGCCTAGCCAACATGGTGAAAACCCATCTCTACTAAATGTACAAAAAAACTAGCTGGATATAGTGGTGCATGCCGTAAACATAGCTACTCAGGAGGCTGAGGTGGGAGGATCGCTTAAACCTGGAGGGCTGAGATTGCAGTGAGCCAAGATCATGCCTGGGTGACAGAGTAAGACACTGTCTCAAAAGAAAAAACAAAACAAAACGGTGAACTGAGATGCCTGCCATGTCTCAAATTCTTGAGCTCAGGTAATCCACCTGCCTCAGCCTCCCAAAGTTCTGGGATTACAGGCATGAGCCACCACGCCCAGACCCCTATTGGATTCTTAAATCTCTATGATGCAGGAAATAAGTTCTGTTCAACACTTAACACCCAGGGGCTAGAAGATGGTATATGCTTAGTAAATATTTGGCTTCTTAACTATCTAGATAGGTTTCCTATGCCTCTGGTCTTATTTTTATTTATTTATTTATTTATTTATTTTACAGGCTAAACCTGCCAAATACATGCTGACAGATTTTTAAATCTCTTGCCTATCCTGGTTCCCTTCCTCAGAGTGATTCAAACCTCCAAATGCAGTCTGTCACAGAATCACTCCTGCAGGAGTAGAACAAGCAGGTCAGAGCAGGGTAGGCCACTCTTTCTAGACCTAGTTCTACATAATAGGGTATAAAATCAGTAGTATAAAGCCAGGAGATATCACAGTTTACCTTGGGGTAGGAGGTGAGAAGGAGCAACTTTTCTGACTTTTAGAAGTATCTAGCCTGGTATAGTGACTCATGTCTGCAATTCCAGCACTTTGGGAGGCTGAGGTGGGAGGATTGCTTTGACTCAGGAGTTCAAGATCAGCCTGGGCAACATAATGAGACCTCATCTCAAAAAATCACAAATAAAAATGAATACATAAAAGTTTCTTTCAGAAAGAAAAACTTGCCTTTTTCTTTTTTATAATTTTTTTTTTTTTTTAAAAGATGGGGTTTCACCATGATGGCCAGGCTGGTCTTGAACTCCTGATCTCAGGTGATCCACCTACCTCGGCCTCCCAAAGTGCTAGAATTACAGGCGTGAGCCACAGCGCCCAGCCCAAACTTGCCTTTTTCATAGGTTACATGTTATTCACAGGAAAACATATGCACAAACTTCCCATCTCTATAGTTGAATGAAATGTCAACACCCTGTGTATGACTGTGGAGTTTGAGTTGTATAACCTGGCTTTCACCTATACTTCAAGTTGTATTTCCCACTATTCACTTTCACAAACAACACTAAGATTACAGAACTGTGGTATTTTTGGTATTTCAAATACCACCTGCAATTTTCCATCTGTTTTTCCTTTATATTAAATGTCCCTCTCTGACATTCTTAGAAGAGCTTTGAAACTGGGCTTCATCTCTATTTGTGCCAGCCAGGCAAGACACTTCATCTTGAAGTTGTCAAGTAAGGATAATAACAGCACCTATTTAATGGGATTATGAAAATTCAACAAGATAATTTTATGTAAAATGCTAAAAAGCATAATTACCCTGAATTCTCACAGTACTTCCCACTTCCAGGCCAGTGCTTCTAGAACTTTTCTATGCCTAAGAATCACCTAGAGATCTTACTAACATGGAGATTTGGGTCCAGTAGGTCTAGAGTAGGGCCTGAAATAATGCATTTTTATTAATAACAATCTCCTAGGTGATGCCCATAGTGCTGGCCCACTACCACACTTTAAGTAACAATGTTCTGAGATACTCCAGCCCTCCCTTCACCTTGTTAAATCTCATTGATGGCCCTGACAAATTTACTTTGGTATTTTTGTCTCCCAGAGCATCTGGAATTGTATCTCTTTAAATGTGTGTACTAAAATATTTGGCGAATAACTATGTCTTAGGCAGTTCAGCTCAGTAGGCCATTTGGGACTGAGAAAGGATAGATTGAGAATGGAATACCCCGAGAAAGGCTAATAAAAAACTTTCTTCTTCACAGTTCCTTACCCTTTTTCACACATGGGCTCATGAAAATGGGGAAAACACTGAAGCAAGAAAATTCTGGGTAAGAAGGAAGAATAGAAGTGTCTGGATGTCTTCGTTCCTACCCACCATTTTGGGGGCACTCTTAAATTGAAAAAGCTTTGAAACCAAAGTCAGTGCTTTCAGGTCAGTGCCAGGGTTGGTACAAATTCCACAGATATCAAGTTAAAATGATTACTAAAAGCTACAAAAATAACCCTTTGCCCTTTATTATTATATAGTTACTCATGCTAGTTTAAACATAAAAGTCTTTTTCTTTTTTTTGAGATGAAGTTTTGCTTTTGTTGCCCAGGCTGGAGTGCAATGGTGCAATCTTGGCTCACCGCAACCTCTGCCTGCCAGGTTCAAGCGATTCTCCTGCCTCAGCCTCCCGAATAGCTGGGATTACAGGCCTGTGACACCACACCAGACTAGTTTTGCATTTTTATTAGAGATGGGGGTTTCTCCATGTTGGTCAGGCTGGTCTTGAACTCCTGACCTCAGGTGATGCACCCACCTCAGCCTCCCCAAGTGTTAGGATTACAGGCATGAGCCACTGCACCTGGCCTTTTCTTTCTTTTTTTTTTTTTTTGGGGATAGAGTCTTGCACTGTCGCCCAGGCTGGACTGCAATGGCACAATCTTGGCTCACTGCAACCTACACCTCCCAGGTTCAAGCAATTCTCCTGCCTCAGCCTCTCAGGTAGCTGGGATTACAGGTGCCTGCAACCATACCCGGCTAACTTTGTGTTTTTAGTAGAGGCAGGGTTTCACCATGTTGGTCAGGCTGGTCTCAAACTCCTGACCTCAGGTGATCCACTCATTTTGGCCTCCCAAAGTGTTGGTATTACAGGTGTGAGCCACTGCACCCAGCCCAAAGTCTTTAATAAAGATCAAATGATGCAAGCTGCTCTAACTGGGATGGACAGTGATCTTAGGATCAACTACTTAGGCTTGTACTTTAAGTGAATTATTTTGAGACAGTCTTGCTCTGTCACCCAGGCTGGAGTACAGTGGTGTGATCTCGGCTCACTGCAACCTCTGCCTCCTGGGTTCAAGCGATTCTCCTGCCTCAGCCTCCTGAGTACCTGGGACTACAGGCATGTGACACCACGCCCGGCTAATTTTTTGTATTTTCAGTAGAGATGGGGTTTCACCATGTTAGCCAGGATGGTCTAGATCTCCTGACCTCATGATCTGCCCACCTCAGCCTCCCAAAGTGCTGGGATTACAGGTGTGGGCCACCGTGCCTGACTGAAGTAAACAATTAATTGGGTTCT